ACCTGATGGACCAACAATGGAACCACCCTAATGCTGAAATTGGCCAAAGCTCGGGCCAAGCACTTGCCGCAGCCACATTGAACGTCGTACCAATGCTGGCTTATGAGAATGTACCAGCCACCGATACTCAACCAAACCAGGCGACACATCTGGCCCCCCATAGAGGACGAGGCTGAGGAAGAGGTTCAAGCCAAGGCAGAACAAATCCCCGAGGGTACTGCACTTATCATCATTCTTACAGCCATGACACAGCGAGTTGTAGGGATATAGCCCAACATCCTAGAAGCTCAAATCCCAGGAATAACAATCAGGATACTTCAAAATCAAGGAGTAGGCCCCTGCCAAGGCTAGAGCAATAGCTTAGGCGAGACGAGGCCCCTTCCCGTCATAGGGAAGTATCTCCTCGAAGGGGTGAACAGGAAAGGCATAAGAACACAGATGAGCATCGGCGAAGAAGCCATAGAAACAGGGCAGAGGATGCCCCAATTACTGATTTATACGATTTTTGGAGGTCCCTATGTTGGTGGGGAAACCAAAAATTCTCAAAGAAATCTTGACCGTTGATCGACATTAACGTGTTGGATCAAACTTGCCTGTGCACGAATGGGCTCGGCATCTGATGTCAACATTTTTTGGGGTCAACAGTAAAAAATTGCTATATTCCAAGTACTTCTAGGTTAATGATGCTATGTAGATTGTATAGCAACAAATCCACATGCACCAGAAGCCCTTTTGAGAAAGATATGTTTTCTCATCAACTATACTTGTGATGATATTCCTGATGCTAATTGTTAAGTATTTCATAGCTTCCACCATGTTTTGTTAATGACCATTCTCTGTTTCAGTCTACTAGTTCTTTCTTTTACAATATAGGTATGACGTTCAGGAGACTTATCGGCGTTTCCAGCATTGTAGAGCACTCAAAAAGATCGACGATGGGAAGAATAGCAGAACCTAAAAGGAACAAGAAGAGTTGCAAATCCAAGAGCTGGTTTTTATCCCTATGTTCAAAGCTGAGCAGTGATTATGTGTGCATGAATAACAATACCCCGTCTATCGGTCAATTTCTTCAAGTCGAAAGGAGAACTGCAAGCTTTTACAGAAGATGTCCGAGCTTTTGATGACGTATATTGTTCAGTCATGTCTAATATTCTATATGATTCAGTTTCTACCTAACGTTGTCCTCTTTTCGATTCCATATGATTCGGTTTCTTTTATAGCTGAATTTGCATTGCTTATCACAGGAAATTTGAACATCTAATTCAAATAGAAGCAATTGCACTCAAATGGTTTTCATACTCAAGTAATATTTTCAAGGTCAAAGACAGTTAAGTAGTCCCTCCTTCAATTAAGACCATATTTTTGAGATTCATATAATCAGCTTAACAATTGATCCTTCATTTAGTGAGAAAAGAGTAAATTTAAAAATAAGCACCAAAACCCTTATTCTTTTCAACTTTTCGTAGGTAGTAGCCTTACCCCCATTAATGAGAAAACTCAACTGTTAACAAAGAGGCATTTTTCACCATTTGTAATGGTTCCTTGTACCTTCCACTATAATAAATTCCAGTCAACTCAAAATCAAGAAACTTTATTCTACTTTTATGGCAACCCTACGAGACAAGTTTTGAATATACCAGAATAAATCGAGACACAAGCTAAATAAAGATTCTAAGAATAGAATGTTTGATGCTAAAAGCACACAAGTAAAGCACAAGTGCAATTAGAGGGTCTTAATGAATTCATTGTGTTCCCAAGTGTAGAAAATCAAGCTGCACGTAGGTATATTCCTACAAATGGGACATTAACCCATAATTTATATTTGATCAAATGTTTTCACTTAGCAACCGAATCAAGAGGTATGTAAGAGAACGGGCCATTAGCTTATTTTTCTTCCTTTATCTAATACGTACCATCGAATCCTCCCTGCCAAACATGTTATACAAATATATATGATATGAAGTGCTCGACAATATTGTCCATGACACGAGACAAGATTTGAAGTTCTTTTTCTTCTTTAATCATATCTTAGTTTACAACACCAAATATGTCATTTATAATATATAAACTCTGTAAAAGAGTCGAGTAACCGAGTATTCATTAATCTCCTTTCTCAAGGGTTAGGTAGATCACAATAACAAAACCCAATTAAGTAATGACACTTAAGATCATTTCAGCTTTTAACGATGAAATTCTCCACTGCTCCAGTTCAGCGCGATTGAGTTCTAAGATATCTCGCAACAAGGCAAAACATCAATCGATACAAATACTTAACGCTTATCGAACTCCTCATTGCATTCTGCAAAAACCTTTCCCGAACCACGGCCCAATCTCCCAAGTGAACTCGTGGGTGACAAACTCTTGAAGTTGCTGCTGCTTTCACCAAGATTCGCTGACTTTCTCGTTCTGGTTGGTTTAGTCGGACTGAATTCCAACTCCACATCACTGGAGGTTTTGCTCTTGGCAACAGCTAGTTGGGTAATAGGACTTCGACAAAAGGGGCAAACTGGAATCTTCGAACAATTTGTTGAAAGATTGGCTTTGTGGTGGCAGCACAAGGCTAGAATGCAATAAGCACGCATCGCGTGCCCTCATGTTTGAACCTCAATTGTACAAACCTGCTCAAAGCAGATGCAGCATAGCTCGACATCGCATGCCTGTTTGACAAGGAAAATTGTGCATTTCATCTTTAGGGGATCATTTCATGACTGTAGATTAGGTGGCCACAGGTTATTGGTTCTTGGATGCAAATAACAACAACAAACTAATCCTTGTTCTTGACAAACTTGAGGTCAGATTACATATATACTAGATCATATCTACAATTTCTAAACACAGTCGCACATATAATTACTGTCATTTGCTCTTCTTCCTAAAAGACTCATCCCTGAAATGGGGAGGAACGGTGAATAAAGACGGGTCTTTGTGCACCCAACGTTGTTACACTCACAACATGGGCCACATGTAGTAATAGCAAAGGAATCACAAGTGGTATACCAGAGAATCTGCAACGGTGAACAATTAAATCCCTCCCTCTTTCTTGTAGTTGACTAGTTGAGTATATTACTGAACACCTCATGTCTCTAACTTGGAGAATTTTCACGCTACTAAATAAAAGGACCGCCCTACTTGTACCGGCCCGGTACGTACCGGGCGCCGAGGTGGCGCCCCATGAT